ACACCCGAGTTTTTGCCTCAGCAACCATCCGAGCCGCATGCCGCTTCGCCCGCCGGTACCCATCAGCTGATTCCGGAGTCCCACAGGTCAAAAAGGCCCGATAGGCCGCCTCCTTCAACCTGACAGCATCCCTCACCGGAGGTGTCCACCAACGGGTTCGAGGGTTTTCATAACTATAAAATGAAAAATAAAAAGTATGCAGGGAACCTTTTTTTCTGCATGCTGATTGCTGGGCATGGTTTGCCACGGTTGCTAGGTTACCAGGGACTCTAAAGCGCGAAGAGGAATCTGCAGAGATAATGAAATCTATCCCAACTGATGGGGCTCCATCTATGGTTGGACGCTCTGCTGGATTGGTTGCTCTCTTCAAGCTGTCTGAAACTTTCCAGGATTTTGGATCAACCGCTGCATCATTCAGCAACAGCTGTGCAGCAATATTTTAAATATGAAGCATGTCATGGATGTTGCGATGAAGATCACTTGCTCTGTTCGGGCCAGGAGTTTGAAGAGGCGTTTATTCCGTGCCCAGCTCGAGGAGGCAGGTGCAGACCACCCTGATCTGCTGCTGCACGCCGGCGTCAGGCGGCTGAGCCGTGGCAGATTCTTCCAAATATCTTTGGAACTGTGTTGTTCTTGGATTCTATATAGAACAGACGAGGCGTGTAAACTTGTTATGTATATTTATTTCCAAACTTCCACAGAACCTTTCAGTAGCAAGCTACATTCAGAACTGCCCTCTCGCTCTAGCCTCCAACACGTGACGCCACGCGCCCCATTGCATGCTGGGTATTGGGAGTTCAAGAGCTTTCCGGCTCATTACATCACAGGAACTTTTGCCCGAAATTAAAGAAACAGTCACCAACCCATTCTGCTGTCTGTTACATCATCACATCCACATAGTTTGCACTCAGTATTTTCCTATTTTTATCTGTTTTCTTGTTGAATTTTAATCCATCTGCCAGTTTCTCTGCCAACGCCCAGTGAAGTTTATCATTCTGAAATAGAGGACTTCCCTTCTCCTTCCTCCTGCTTTCAACTCATCTTAGACTAAGACTGATTTTATTGGTCATTTTGTTTACACAAGTGTAAAACAAAAAGGAAATTTAGTTTTGAAAAGCTCTCTGGAAAATTTCATATTTTTTTCAAAGAGCAGTAGTAAAAAAAGTAGTAAAAAAGTAGTAAAAAA